CCAGCGACCCCGACAGCCGTCCCCTCCCCACCTCCGAGCTCCTCTCTCAACCGCACAACCAAGCCCCAGTCCCCTCCGCGCGGCCGCCGCTCAGCCTCGACCGCTACCGCCTCCCCTTGCACCACCCTGCAGACCTCCACAACCGCCTCCAGCGCCTCCTCCACCCGTGCGACCACCACCAACGTCCCCCTCCTTCCCAGATCCTCCACCACGCCGCCAACGACGCTACTGACCCCGACTTCTTCAGCCCCCACCTCGTCGCTGCTGCCTTTACCCCGTTCGTGCCACCTCGTCGTCGAGCTCGCCGTTGTTCGACGTCGTGCTCCACCGCCTCAGATCCGATCCGCGCTGTCAGCGTCGATTCGTTCGACAAATACCCCGAGGCAAGAATCCCCTCACTTGTCTCGTGTTAAAATTATTTTTGATTAATTAATAATGTTGAATAGTTATTTCATGTGATAATTATGTGTGGGATTACTTGTGAATTAATGAAAATAAAAATGACAAGTTTATATTTGGAAAGTTGGGTAAAATTTATGAGATATTGTTGAAAAAAAAATAGAATTAAAAAAATAGTTACTGTTCAAACAGAATAAATAATAATAATAATATATTTTAAAGATTATTTTGAATAATTTATGATAAATAAATTAAAATGATTTATTTCGGAATTAATAATTGAAAATGTTGACATTTCATGTGCATGATATCTGTTAATGATAGTTCCTCATGTACGGTTTATAGTTCCTATTTTGATTTATGATACTGTTAATTAGTATTAATTGTATTTATCATTCCTTGTTATATTTAAGAATCACGAGAAAAACATGACTATAGTGATCTATGTGACATGAATAAGATTTAGAGGCTTGTGTGTTAAGAATCACGAGAAAAACATGACTATAGTGATCTATGTGACATGAATAAGATTTAGAGGCTTGTGTGTTACTGGCTTAGAAAATAAGAAGAGTTGGGATGGGAAGTCTTGGTACATGTAATTAGATGTGACTGTTTATGTATCCTTTAGGGTTGCTCCAGTGAACCGATACGCACTGGGTTAGTCTGTTAGGCCAGTGAACCGATACGCGCTGAGTTAGTTTGTTAGGCCAGTGAACCGATACGCACTGGGTTAGTTTGTTAGGCCAGTGAACCGATACGCACTGGGTTAGTCTGTTGGGCCAGTGAACCGATACGCACTGGGGTTAGACGGTTGGACCAGTGACTTGTTATAGAATGGCTGTTACATGTGGATGATTTGTGAACAACCGGTTATTCATGAATATGAGTTTTGACTATATGTGAGAGGTAGACCAGTGACTTGTTATAGGATGGTTAGCTACATGACTTTGTTGTTTGAATGTTTATGGGTTCTCGTGAGATGTGAACCAGTTATATTTCTTTCCATACCTAGATTAGGATTAATATTTAATTATCTACAATTTGAGACATATGGTATATACATGAGGGTTTTCTTGTTTGAATTATTTCGCTCGACGTACTACGTCTCGAGTTGTAGATTTTTAAGTATTAATTCTATCTAGGGGTATGTCCTTGTTACGCGGATGATTATGGATTCTTATGATCGTTCTACTCTAGTGATGGATTGCATCTAGCTTGTTAGTATTCCAGCTGCATGTTTCTATTTATTGCATTGGTCATTCGACCGTTCCTATTTTCTTTGTGGGGTCGGGTCTTGCCGTGCGTCATGCACCTGACGTACACCTGTTTTCTCTGGTGTACGTCAGACTTAGAAGAATGACAGGTTCAGCTAGGAAATCATCAGGAGCCAGAGGATTCTCAGCAGGAGTGCCCTGCAGACGGAGCAGAAGAAGCCAAAGTTTAGTTATTCCCTCTCGTTGTTCGATGATCTTAGTTTACTTTTATAGCATTTCCTTTTCCGCTTGATCATTGTATTTTATATTCTTTAGTATTCATTTGTTTAGTTTTGTATGAGGGCATGTTTGACCCGTATTTTGATGTCTCGGATGATATTTCTTTTATGATATGGATTATTTCAGTTCTCGGATGATATTTCTTTTATGATATGGATTATTTCAGTTCTGGGTTGTTCATTATATTCTTGCTATGTGTGATCGGGGACCTGTGACTTCGTGTTGTTTTTATTTCCAGACGCTTAGCGTATTAGATTGAGAAGACGGGGTCTAGCACTTATCTCTCCTCAGCCTAATACGTCGCGGGCTTGCTCGCGTCCCGGTTCCCGTGTATTTTGGGAAGCGGGGCGTGACATAATAATTGCTAAAAAAGAGCTACAAAACATATATCTCCAATTTATAGACTAAAACACATGGGGAAAAAAATCAAAGAGGCTGCAACACATGAAGTTTTTGCTTTTGGGGCTTTGACATAAAATTGCCTAGTTTTTTTAATTATAAAATAAATAGATATAGATATTTTTATCCAATTGTCAAAAGGTTTTTTCCTATTAGCCCCTTACATCTTTCATATTATGAAATTACTGCTTCAGATCATGGAATTTTTCATAAGGTCCCTCGATCTTAGGTTTTATGAATTAGTTCTCCAAATCATGAAAATTACTACTAGGTCCCCTAATTCTTAATATATTTAGATTTTTTTCATGCAGAGCTTATGTAAAGATTAGTCTCTGGAATTAAGAAGAAGTAGCAATTAAAGGGATCGTTAAGAAAATATATTATTATGGAGTATCTAATTCTCATAATTTGTTTTTCGAATTAATCCCTTCAATTGTTATTTCTGTTCTTGATTGGAGGGACTGATTTTGAAAAAAGTCAAGAATTGGGAGACATAACAGTAATTTTCATGATTTCAGTGACTAATTCGAGATAACTTAAGAATTGAGCAATTTCCAATATTTGAGGGGCTAATTCGAAATATGACAGATTTAGGGTGTGTTTGGATTTCAATGGGGTTAAGGGAAGTTAAGAAAAACTAGGTGAGAGAAGAGAAGAGAATGGAAGGGGGTTCCCTTCCCCATAGTTACACCCTAATTTGGGGGTGACAAATTTTATACTATTAAGAAGGGGTGAACTAAGGGCTTGTTTGGATTGAGGGGAATGAGGGTGAAGGGAAGTTAGGAGAACCATTCACCTCCATTCACCTTGAGGGTGAAGGGAAGTTAGGAGAACCATTCACCTCCATTCACCTTGTTTGGGAACACTTAGGAGGTGAAGTTAATTCACCCTAGTTCTCCTTCACCTTGTTTGGGAACACTTAGGAGGTGAAGTTAATTCACCCTAGTTCTCCTTAGTTCACCCCCTAATAGTATAAAAATTGTTACCCCCCAAATTGGGGTGTAACCAAGGGGAAGGGAACTCTCTTCCCTTCCCTTCCCTTCCCTTCACTCAGTTTCCCTTAACTTCCCTTCACCCCCTACAAATCCAAACAGGCCCTAAGGAGAACTAGGGTGAATAACTTCACATTCTAAATGTTCCCAAAATGATCCCTTATTCACCTCAATCCAAACAAGCCCTTTTAAGTACTGCCAAAAAAATCCCTCGTCAAAATAGAATTTGGGGCTACGGAGAGAAATAACGTTTCTTAATTTGAGTAATTTCCTCATTTTGAGGGAGGAGAGGGAGAGAGAAGGGAGATGCGGGTTGTCGGGTTAACGGGCGGAATCGCCTCCGGCAAGAGCACGGTGTCGGATCTCTTCAAATCCAGCGGCGTCCCCGTCGTCGACGCCGACCTCGTCGCTCGGGTACCCCTCTCTCCATCAATTCTTTTTTTTTTTGAATAATTTTATGAGGGCAAACGTTTAATTATTTTAGGTTCTTGATCATCGATCTCAGATACGCTTTTGGTTTCAAAGAGATGATGTTAGAATATTATTGGAAATTTTGCCTGATAAACATATTGCTCGCAACAAGTTCGATGAAATGCCTCTGACTGCAAACCCCTTGTTTGGCTGTTTGGTTTGGGAAATGGGAATGAGGATAGGTGATTTATGAATCTAAATTGTGAAATTTTCAAGAACTAGTAATTGGGTTTGTTCGACCCGTTTGGCTTTTGAGAGAATGTGTTAAAATGTCAGCGTGATTTTTGCCCAATAGTCGTATTGCTCACGACCTGCTCGACGTAATGCTTCTGTTTCATAAATCCCTTGCTGAAATTTCAAGCAAGAGTAATTGGGTTTCTTTCAGTGGTGGAAAAAACTTGTGTGGAAGTAGAAATTTCTTATTGGGAAAAGAAGAGGAATGCTGAAATGGGAGGGGCTACTTAATTCACGAATCCTTTCCTACTTGCAATTTTGGTACTTTGGTGAGTTTCAGTTCAGAAAAGAATGATAATTTGGAAAGGACGGTCTAGGAATTTAAAAGATAAACATACAGGTTAATTACAAATGGACCGCTTGTACTATAAACACTGCAATATATCACCCTTCAAATTAGATACTAGCGGATTGATTCGGTTGTTAACCAATACCATTAAAGGTGTGTTAGTCGGAGCTATCATGGGTGAGCCAACATCTGTATTTCTGCCAGGGTGTTGTAAATCTTTTGAGAGAAGGCAAGGAAAGAAGGAGATGGTAACCTTATTGTACTATAGACATTTTATCCAAGGTAACTTCTCTAGAAAGTAAAGTTGAGAAAAATCAACTTAAAAGCCAAATAGGTCCTAATAAATTTGTATCTTCATCTTTTCCATGGTCTCAATTGAGAATTCACAAACAATGCACTTGTAATTACTCCTCATTTCAACAGAAATTATGTTATCTGATATGATAATATCTTAATAGTTAAAATAAAAAAATTAATAGCAATGGTAGCACTTGAATCGGTTTTTTTGGTAAATCGTGATAGCCCCATAACTACCGCTGGGAAGACCAAAGAGATCAGAAACACAAGATGCTATAGCGAACTGCGACCGAGTTCAGTTATCCCGGATTCATGGTGGAACACGACCCGAGTCACCAACTCTAGCAACCCGATTCAGAATTCAAGCTAGTTAAATTTTTGACAAACAATAACTCGTTTTCTATATAATAACCAACAAAAAATACTGCATACCTTAATTGCAACATAATTCTCAAGGTTCTTTTGCCATTACTGATATCAACTAGCAAATTTCTTAAATTTGACTATTACAAAACTCCCAATTCCTACATTTAAGTACCGAAGCTAATATGTACCACGTTCCTCAACGTACCGCATAAGCCTACCTCCTCGTACCCGATTCCTAATGAGTGGCGTACTACGCTCCCGTACCCATCTTGTGAACTGTAACAAATCGGGTTCCATGCAACTATGGACAAGACATAATTTAAGAATGATTCGTATTGAGTCCTGACTCAATGGGAACTTGGGAAGTCGTGGAGATAGATTATGGATAGTCTCCAGCTTGAGTCCTAGCTATTGTATCAGTTACAAAGAAAGGAAGAATAAAAATTATCATGCTATGAGGTCAACTTCGAGGACTTTATGTGAGCAAAGTTAACTCATGAAGGCTATATGGGGAGTTATGGAAAAGATCAGGGTCCCATGGGGACATGAATCCTAATCATGTTAAGAAATTTGGTAATCACTTTTAGCATCTCCATTCATCTGTATATTGTGTTTAAAAATTTCAGTTCGCCAACGTTTCATTCAGTAATCGTTCAATTTAAACTTATTGATAATCTTGAAACTTGTTTTGTAGGATGTAGTGAGAAAAGGTACAGGTGGATGGAAAAAGGTTGTAAAGGCATTTGGAAATGATGTTTTACTAGAAAATGGGGAGATTGATAGAGCGCGCCTTGGGCAAATTGTTTTTTCTAATCCAGCCAAACGTCAACTTCTAAACCGGTAGTTATCTCCCACTTCTCTTGTTTTTTAGGGATGTCCATTTTGTTCAAGTAGTTTGTCTATATTTATAACTCCTATGCTAAATAAAGTTAGTTTTTGTCTTCTAAAATTATATATTCATGACCTGAAGGGCTCCTAATCACCAGAGGATCTGGTTAATGTTAATTTTATTATGACTTGAATCTGGCGGCATGTAAGATGCATCTGAATTGAATTTTTTAATGTCATATATCAGGTAAGTTATCAAATTAGCTGTCTATAAAGGAATTTTACTAAATTCATAGATTGTTAAAAATGAGCGAAACATTCATCTCAGAAAGATTGGGGAGAGTGCACAAAAATAGGGAAATAGAAATACGTTCTATTTTGATAGATGTATAAATTGCATCTATTTATAATGGTTGTGATCTAAAATAAAATTTATTTAGATGAGTTTATTCGCAAACTATTACAACAAAGAAGTTTGATGGGGACAGATTTTCAAGCTTTGAGGTGAACTAGAATATGCCAAAAACATGTATAGATATTACCGATTCTTGAAAAGTTTAAGAACATGCTCTAAAGGTGTAGAATTTAACTTCAGATATTTGTAAATCCATGTGGAAGCAAGTCAATTTTTCATATTGGATGTACATGCATAATTGCATATGGAGAAAGAAATATACTGGGTTCTATTTGGAATATGTTAATTTATTGGATTGCATGCATTAAACTGTTTAGTTTTTGGCAGAACGTCTGTGGCTTGCATGAGAGGCATTTGGATAGTCTTAACACATAATTTTCTATTAAAAGATGGGTGCTTTATAACTGATGACAATCGTCTGGTATCACCAGCACAATCTTAGTAACATTACGGTCAAAATGGATAGTTTGTTTCTGGATATGTTGAACAATTTGCGACAATTTTATTCTATTGTGCTCTATCTTATTACCACCCAGTCTTATCAAACTTGATACTTCTTTTGGATGGTCTCTCTGTTCTTCTTTTCACTTTGGGTTAATTGCAGACACACCCTATGGGGGTGTAGCGACTCATACCCCTATGGCCCTACGCTATTTATTAGCATTCATGCCCCTTAAAAATCAAATGGAGCTAATTTTTATCCTCAATTTAGATAGCAATTTTGTCTCTTTTCAGTTAAAACGAGGGTAAAAGTACAACCTATTGTCATGTGATTCCCATGTGGTCTCTAAAACTAACGGCAGAAATAATGTTGATTGATATTAAAGGGTTTAAATGCTGATTAACTTTTCAAGGGGAGTGGTTACAACCCCATAGGGGGGGGGGACTACACATCCTATCAGAACCGCCCGTTGATATGCAGGCAGTTCTGACTTTTCAAGTGGAGGGTGAAATACCCGTTGTGCCCCCTGTTTCATTCATCGAAGGGTCAGAATCTCCCATTGCATGCAGGCAGTTCTGATGGGATGCGGACTCTACAGGAGGTGCATCTTCTATTAAAGAAAAAAAGAAAACAGAATTTAAGCATACATTTACCATTTGTGCTCATCTTTAGCCTGTGTTCTTTCAGGTTATTAGCTCCATACATATCCTCTGGCATATTCTGGAGAATAGTAAAGCTATGGCTCAAAGGCTATGAGATTATAGTTCTTGACATCCCACTGTTGTTCGAGACTAAGCTAGACCGATGGACAAAGCCTATAATCGTTGTTTGGGTTGATCATGAAACACAACTTCAACGTCTCATGGCACGAGATTGCATTTCTGAAGAACAAGCTAGAAATCGTATAAATTCTCAGGCTTCAATGGATATGAAGAAGAATAAGGCTGATATAGTTATTGATAACTCTGGTTCAAGAGAGGACACTAGAGCACAGTTTGAAGATGTTCTGAATAAAGTTACTCAACCTTTAACATGGAAGGAAGTTAGTCGTACTAGAAAAGGTGTGACTTGGATTCTTGTCTCTGGGGTCATAGGTGCTATTATGATACATAAACATGTACTCTGATGATGGGTGGGGTCTCGGTGAATGCAAATTTTCTTTATCGTGCAATAAGGAGAGGCGTATTGTATAACTTCTTGGTTAATTTAGAGATTTTGCAGTCTGTGTCGTAACTTATATATTGGTTATTTTCCAAGATTGTTCAATATAAATCATTTTATGAACATATGGTGTTGTGATATACTTGCACGTGCAACTGGTTGCAACTAGTTACTGTGGTCAATTCGTTTCTTTGTTATTTATGTGATTTTACTGAGACCAGTATAATGCATGAGATACGAAGAACTATATGAGATGCGTAAGAAATTGGACAAAGAAAGAAATTTTATTTTTGCAATATGCTAACCCTCTTAGTCAGGAGAAAAAAAAATGAAAAGTACAAACAAGGATTAATAATCACATTAAGTTGATGTGTAAGATAGTCCAGAATGCTGTGAATAATGTGTCTGAATTTGTGGCTTGCATATGATAATAACTGGGACCTTCATTAAGCTGAGAAAAACTTGTGAGAATACCAAAATCTTTCAACAATTTCAAAAGGCGGTCATTTCATTATGAAGAATACAAATCAGCGCAATCAATTATTTAATCTACTCTTTTTTTTTAAAGAAAAAACTATATATTGTAGTTTGTGAATGATACACAAGTCATACTTCAATTCCTCAATAGCTTCCAGGCTGCCACCATGTCTGATGTATCATAGTCCCTTGATCTGACAAATTTCCAGTAAATTCATAACATAACCAGGAAGTATTACGATATCTGTAGATGTTTATTTATACTTGATAAAGATTACAAGAAGCATTAAAAATGCAATAATAACATACAGAACAGCTCATTCTGCTTACTAGTACGAAATAAATAATAATGAAGCCGATGATAAAAACAAGATTTACTTGTGCTCTATCCTTCAAACATCTGGATTAATAAAGGTTTTCAGGTGTAGGGTTCTCAGTTTTATGATTTTCCTCCTTTGTGCAGCTGAATCCTTGGCAAACAGACACCCAGATAATAAGGACTAGGAGCAAGAGGATGGAAAGAACCACCAACTTAATTTTCATATTCTTTAACCACATTTTTCTTCGAACCTTTGTCCCTTGTTTTCTGAAGTCTTGAGCCTGAGAAAGGACCAAAAGAATAATTGCACCATGCAAAGTATGTGAGTAGGGTCAATTTAGTTGTTTCAGAGTCTAAAAGGCTCTACCTGAGAATGCAAATCGGTCGTCTTGTCAGTAAGATCAGTGAGCTTCTCCTCTCGATCAACAGCCTGAAGATAAATCAAATTAGGTAAAGCTCAAACAAGAGTTATGTTTCTTGATGGCAAACAGTATCGCAGAAAATTAGTATTTGGTTCTGTCCTTACTTGAAGAAGGCATTGAAAGAGACCTGTATCTCTTTAAGTTTATCAGTGATTTACTGTTATTACAAAGTAAGGAAGAAAGAAGTAAATAATATTTCATATAATCTTCATATTTCTTGTCCTAGCAGAGATCTTCATAGAAGTTGTTCTTTGTAGTATCTTCGTAGATGTTCATCTTTTGCTCATACAATCGTATATCTACCTGAATATGAGTAAACTCATAAGTAGACAACTATACCTGACATCTACGACAACACACATCTCTGTCAAAGAATATATGCATGCTAAAAAAGAAAAGTTACAGCCTCAATTCGGTTCTTTTTTCCCTCTTAAATTATTTAAGGTATTGATGAAGCGGATGGTGAAACAAACTACAAACCTTCTCAATGTTTTCCAACATGATGCTTTTGATTTCTGAAACTTGGGCCTTAACTTTTAAAACCTTTTCTATCTCATCCGCATGCTCAACAATATATTGCATATGTTCCTTTATAATTGGTCTGCAAATAATAGAAAAACATGATATCATGAAAAATCCCGAGGATACACAGAAATCGAAAAGGACCTCCTAAACAAAGAAATGAGAAGAAAACACACCCAAATTCTTTATTGAGACTTTTGGCAGTTGCCGTGTCAGCCTTACCACCTCCATATCTCTTTCTGAAATCTACCTTAAGCCGCTCAAGAAAGGCTACCGAGACATGTTTTGGAACCAAATCTTTCGCAACAACACAATATGCTGGAAGATAAAGAAAATAGATAAACTTAAATCAGGTCAGAATTCAAGCCTCTGAAATATCATTAAAATTAAGCCACTAAAAACAGTTTCAGAAATGTATCTTCCTTACAAAATTAATTTACTACTACGAGCCATTATGGGCCTTTTCTCATAGGGATATAACATTATGATTATGCAATTTTAAGCTTGTACAACCAATGAATAAACCCACAAATTACCTAGACGAGGAAGATCCTATACAAAGAAGAAACAAATAAGTTTCACCATAGGGATTACAGTAGAGGGTGTTTGTTTGCATGTAAGAAAAAGATGAAAGTGAGAAAGTCATCTTCTTTCAACAGTTTAGGTGTTTGTTTGCATGCAAGTGGTTATGAAAGCGAAGCAATTTTGATTTGCCCTAAAAAAGTGGTGAAGTCACAAGAAAGTGACAGAAACGGCAACCAGTTTTAATTAAAGGACAAAATTTTGAATCAGACCTTTTCAATAACAAACTTATCAATTTTGGCCTACTTGTAAAATATTTATCAAAATTTGTTCTTAATTAAATGATTTTAACTATATTTACTAATTAATTCTATTTTGCAACATCATCTTCACATTGCACTTTTAGCAATAATTTTTCTTTTCAAACAGACCTTGTATTTCACTTGCATGCTGACATGGATGGATGTGAAAGTCATTTACAAAAAAAAGGAAGTAACTTGTATATTTTCAATTCACTTTAGAACTGCCAAACAACCCCTTAATGTAAGGTGCAAATACTCAGATAAAGGCTTCATTCTTGGTTTCTTTTTTGCAAAGCATTGTGCTGCCATTCTCGCCAGCAGCCAATCTAAAATTTATGGAAATAAACAGAAATTGTCTAAAATTTTGGCTAACATGTAGAATATCAACATTTCAAAATTTCACTTCAAAAACATGAATATTCCAGCATTACCCAAATCAAACAGCTTCCTCCTAATTCCATCAAGACATCACAACAGAGGATCTCTCAACTCAATCCAAATTCAACATCAGACGCTATCAAATCAAAATAAAAAGAAACGATGAAGAAAGCAAGACCACTCACAATATCCATCGTGAACGAGGAAATTGAACGTGTGATGATCGCAAGCGTAAATGAACTTGTTATTCGAAGACGGGAGCCTCTGCAGGCACTGGGCGGCGATCGCCGGGAAGTTCCCGGTGAACTCCGTGTACTCCGCCAGCACCATCGTCCCCCTCGCCACGAAGCTGTAGATGAACCAGCTCTCCTCCCCTCCTCCGTTCGCCATTACTATCCGAGGGTAATTAGGGTTAGGGTTAGGCTTTTTTGGCGGTTTGGAGAGAGAAAGCTGGGATTTTTATTTGGACATGGAATCGGTTTTTCGTTTTGTTTGGCTTTGAGATGAAGCAAAGGTCAGGATTCAGGCGACCGCGGTCGATAGATAGTTCACATTGGAGACTGATGAAAGGGAGCAGTTGGGAGTGGGTAGCGGCTGTGTTTATACGAACAGGAAACAGCGTTTCGGACGAATTGGAACTGCAGTCGCGTCAATAATTTGTAGCGGATGACCAGGCTCCCCTGCGATCAGAGTGGCCACCTGAGCGGGGCGAGATTTGAACTTTGGCTTACTCTCTTGATATAAGCTCCTCTGACTAAGGTCTCTCCGTGTATAAAAAAAAATGTGGCGACAGCGGGGTATATTTTGTAAGGACAACCACCACAGCTTCATCCCATTCGTTTTCGATACGTTTGGTTTCCTTGCAGCTGATGCGGTGGAGTTCCTCAGGAGGGTACAGAAATTCATGAATAAGAATGTGGCGACAGCCGGGTCGGCTGAGTACGTGTTTCGTAGGTTAGGTTTTGCAATTCAGAAAGGATTAGCGGCGCAGCTTGTTGTCCGCTTGTCATCAACACATGTGTAATTTTTTTTTCAAACTAAAAAGATTCTCAGTCAAAAACAAAAAAAAAACAAAAAAACAATAAGGAACAAAATTATTTCGTTCTTAGATAAATTTAGCTGAGAGCATTTGTGGGGATACGTAGGTCTACTATTAGTGCGTTTAGACAAAGTGAATATATTGATGAAATCTAATTAAATTGTGGAAATTTATTTTGTCTATTTTAAATTGTGAAATTTTATTTTGTCTAAACAGTTTCATAGTCACATAATTTAAGTTTTCTAATATATCAGTTTACTCATATCGCCTTATATTTAAATGTTTCTCTTATGTTGTTTGCTTTTGTATTGAATTTTAGTGGATGCGAACTATGAATTTTTCTTACCAAATCAGTATTTGTATTAATATAAGTGACCAATAACAATTTATATATTTGATTCCAAACTAGGGTATAAAAACATATATAACAAATTGAGGAGAATTTTTAAAAAAAGAATCTTTTCTAAATTTTATTATCAAAATAAACTTTTTTTCATTTAATTAGCAAAATCGATCTCTTTTTGCCACATCATCATGGGTGGTCAGAAAAAGATTAATCTTATAAAATAGATACTTTAATATACACAAACTAGTTGCATGTATTTAGCGGTCACTAGTCACATGACTATCAACTCGTGTATATTAAAGATCTAATTAATCTGTGATTAGTGACCGTTAAATATGCGAGACTAATAGTCCATTGTATTTTAAAAACTCTATTTTGCAAATCAATCTCTTTTTTCTAATGAGACTTGATGATGTTATAAAAAAGAGGTCGATTTTGATTATTAAATAAAAAAGATCGATTTTGCAGATAGAATTTTGAAAAAGAGTCTTTTTTTCAATTTCTCTAACAAATTAACATTGGTATGGTGAGAGTAGGTGTAAACTGCGTTTCCAAAATAATAATAATATTATTATTATTATAAGGAGAGCGGGTGTAAACTGGTGAACGGTGATGAGTTGTTCATGTTGCTGTAACAAGTACAACAACGGAACAGAACATTGAACGAATCATTCATTGCCACGTGTAATCAGCAGGTAAACTGACCGTTGTTTGCTGTATTAGCTTTAACAGCATACAGGTAAATAATCGAACCGTTGGATGACCTGTTCTAATCTCTAGACTCTAGTGGGTCGACCTCACCTGCATAATGACCGGTAACAGCCGTCAGTAGTTCGCATTTTAACTTTGAAGCTTCGAGAAGAAACCGGCTGTTGAGGGTCACTCGACTGAGGACAGCGGGCAGTGCTCAAAAGAGCAGAGATAATATAAATTTATAAGTTAACCCCAGTTTTACTTTGCTTGCCCGCTCAGATCTCGTCGTTTTCGCTTCATTTGAAATCTCGCCCACTCTTGTTTTCATTCAAACCCTAACCCTAGAACTCAATCTCGATCTCTAATGGCGGATTCAGATCCTGCGGCCTCCCCTCTCAAACAGTCGCCGGTAATGTCGGATTGATTCCTTGAGATCGCTCTATTCTCTTGACGATCTTTGATTCTTGCAATCAAAATCGCTTCTTGGTTGATAAAAAAAACTATTTATTTTGTGCTTATTCGTGGTATTGCAGGAGAAGAATGAGGAGCTACAGGATTCAGGAACAAAGATCAAGGTCAATTGAAGGTTTAGGGTTTATTTGTATCTTAAGGTATTTTCTGGAGAAATTTGAAGATCTTATGCTTCTTTTTTCTTGCTATTGTTTTATTTCAGCAAGAGAATGAAGTGCAGGAATCATCTCCTTTTTCCAATTCACCGGTATGATATAAAAACCTTGCACTTATTATTCAAGATTGATTATGATACGATTTTTACCAAATACGATTAGTTTATTGGATAGTCTGAGAGTTATCTTTCCTTGATTTCAGAAGGAGGAGGGTGTGCAGCCAATCGGAGCGAGGATCAAGGTTAGACAATGATATAAGTGTTGTCTATACTCGTTTATTTTGTGTTTGTAGTTTTCCGAAAGTATTTTTAATAAGCAACATTTTCTGACAGGATTTAGATGAGTCGCAGTCGGAGTTGCTGTCTAGGATTCAAGGGTTGAAGCAGGTAAGTCTGCTGATTTTCTTGATCAACCTGCTTTGGTAATTTATTATTGTTTAAGAACGTTCATTGGTGTCAAAGAAAAGTTGGTTTTGTAATTTATTATTGATTGCAGAATGTCCAAAGCTGGAGATCACTGGTGGACACACAGCTGAAGTCATACAAGGATGTAAGTTATTTCAACGTTCTTTAGGAATCAATTCAAGTAAATGATGCTGTCTGAGTAAAGTTTTTATGGCTTATTTGCTAAGAATTGGTGAACTTCCCACATTTAGCTTGTGATAGTGATTGCGATTACAAGCAATTCTGGAATTGAAAATACCACTTATTTCTTTACTTACCCGTTTTTAAGATGTTGAACCCTGCCAATCAAATGTTTCCTAAAATTTCGCCAATTTTAATTTATTCTGGAACTATCTCATTTTTCTCCTAGTGGAGGAAGTATTTGAAACTAAATTTAGCAGGATTTTGTTAAGGGATAGGGCTTGGTGGAGCATGGGAACTCTGGAACACCAGCATTTGCAGAATCTGGTTCGTTTTGTTGATCTAACCATTCGGATTTGGATTGGATTATTTTAGTGTCTTTTGTATAGATCCTTTTGGCCGTGGCTCAATGTACTGCTTATTAGATTTAGTTATGATCTTGAGTTTGAACCTGAACTACATGGGTTCTCATGATTCTAAGTGTTATTCGAATCCAATTTTGTTGGGAACCCTGGATAATCCAGGAGGTGAAATGTTATGTTCAAAGGAATTTTTGGACTAAAAAATAATTTTATATTTGATAGAACTTTTGTCAGTTCTGAGGATTATCTCAGTGCAATCTTTTTAAATGAGAAAAAGGAGATCTCCACTAGGAATTATCCCAGTGCACTTCCAAGTTGCATGATGACATTCGCTTTGTAAGAAAGCTTGTTAAACTGTTTTATGACATCCATTAGGAACTATTATTATTGAATAGTCTAGGAAAGATTTCATAAATTTTCCTCTTAGGTTTAGATTATAGGTGTATGATGCCGCACATCAGAAATAGATGCACATGTTGGGGGAAGCTTTCCGAAAAGTGCACCATTTACCAGCTAATTTGTCACTGTCGTCATCTGGGGCTGCTTATCACTTTTTTTATTTTGCATGAAAAAATTAGAATATAAACATTAGCACATGAAAATAGCCTGGTTCTGGTGATGGACACTTCAAACTTCAGGCTTCTTTATGCGTTGTATATCTGGTTCTTGAAACTACCTCGCACCCCCCCAATCAATAAAGAACAAATTTTCAAAATAACTCATTCAAAATTTTAATCCAAAAAATCGACCCACTCCAAACTTTTTTACCAAAATCGACACACTTTCTCGCCATGTTAGGTTTGTGGCTAGAAAGTGGGTCGTTTTAAAAAAAATCGCGGTCCTAATTAGTCGGGGTTGCCAACCCGACTAATTAAGACCTCGCCCACAGCCCTCTCGTGGTTAGCTGCTAAACAAGTCGGGGTTCGAAACCCCGACTAATTTGGTGATTGCACAAAATGGTCGGGGTTCCAACCCCGACCATTTCGAAGCGCGAAGTCGAAATGGTCGGGGTTGGGAACCCCGACCATTTAGAAGAGACTCGCAACAACCCCTAACTCGAAAATGGGGGAGAGACTAAGGCATGAAATAGTCAGGGTTGTTAACCCCGACTATTTCTGGTGGGTCCCCTCCTCTTTATATATACTGACCGAACCCATTTCTTTCCCAATATCACGATTTTTCTCCTCCAACTCATGTCTCTCTTGTTCAGTCGCCTTCACACTTCTTCCAACTCCATTTCGTGGCCGAAATTCGTCGTAAAAGTTTGCTTAAGATCTCTAGGATAATTTTTCTTCCTTCTCTCCTCTTTTAACATGTAAAAATCTAGGGTTTTCTATCAAAATCCAATTTCAAGGGTTTAAAAATTAATATCGATCACTATATTTGTGGTGGTTTGAATGCTTTGTGTGTTGATTGATGTAATTGAAATTAAACTTCTAGTGTATAAAATGCTCAATTCTAGGGTTTAGTATTTTCATTTTGGGGTTCAGGGTTTTTGGTCAAAATTATGAGATTATTTACATTTTGGGTTTTCCTCTCTTATTCAATGCCCTGATAAACTTTTTTAAATTTTTAGCATTTAAATTATATAATCTTTTTTTGCATAGGTTGAACAATATGATTTTTATTGCTTGCTCTTATGGTGAGAAAATTAATTATGGAATGAATAATATGCCAATGTTTGTCGAAGGGGTAACGACGTTGTTAATGATATCAGAATCATATAGTTACTTTGACTTGATTAAGGAATTACACCGAGTTGCGAAAATTAACTCACGAGAGTACCGACTAAAAATAATATGCAATTGACCCATAACTTTTGATAGAATGTCTGCAGTTGAGGTCTCAAACGATCATCATATGAGTATTATGTTTAATTTGAACAAGTCGCAACCAACGGTAGAATTGTTTATTGAAAAGTTACCATATATTCGTGCTAAATATTCAAACCTCCAGGAGAATTCTCACGCATGTTACATTTGAGAGTTGAGTCTGATGGTTTTCTTTCTTCTTCGAGTGAAATGGAGCGGACTCAATTTCAATATCTAAGTGTACCTTCATTCGGGGGAACGTCAAATATCATGAACAATGTGACGTCCCTTATGAAAATATGAGGCCGTTAAGAGGGGTAATAATTAAAGAGGATGAAAGAAACGACGACTCTGAAGGTGAAGAGCAAAATAGTGCACCAATTGATAGCATGCAATTTGTGATTGAATATGTTAAAGAGAATCTAGATTGGCCTGATGAGGCTTATGCTAATAATGAATATGTTGCGTATGAAGAACCACCCCCCGATGAGTTTGAAGATGATGAATGGATTCGTTCTTCCACAGTAAAGATATGTGCATTGGCCAAAGTTTAACTCATAGAAGAGATGACAACGTCCCTTTCACAATTGATAACATGTAATTTGTGACTGAAGATGTTGAAGAGAATCTGGATTGGCCTGACGAGGCTTATGCTAATAATAAATATGTTGAGTATGAAGAACCACCCCTGACGAGTTTGAAGATGATGAGTGGATTCGTTCTTCCACAGTACAAGATATGTGCATTGGCCAAAGTTCCACTCGTAGAAGAGATGATGACGTCCCTTTCACAATTGATAGCATGCAATTTGTGACTGAAAATGTTGAAGAGAATCTGGATTAGCCTGATGAGGCTTATGCTAATAATGAATGTGTTGAGTATAAAGAACCATCCCCCGACGAGTTTGAAGATGATGAGTGGATTTGTTCTTCCACAGTACAAGATGTGTATTGGCCAAAGTTCAACTCATAAAAGAGATGATGACGTCCCTTTCAGAGTTGAAGATTTATTCGAGACCAAGGATCAATTGGTTGATGCTATTCGTGATTACTAAATAAAAAAGAATGTCAAATTCAAGTAAGTTAAAAGCAATCGCACAAGTTATAATGCAATTTGTTTTATGAATAGACAAATGAAGCTGATTACGCATGTCCTTGAAAGTTATATGTATTTGCCGGAAAGAAACATAATGAGCATTTTAGGATCATAGAATATTGCAGTGTTCACCCATGTAGCAATCTAATATTAGAACAAGATCACAGTGATGCATCTGCCTCTTACATAGCGCGGTTGATTATGCCAAAATTAAAGAAGAAGCTTGAACTAACTCCCGGTAATATAATTGAGAGAGTGTTAGATACAAAGTTCATTGAAATATCATATAGTAAAGCATAGAATGCAAGGAGAATTGCGATGATAAAAATATTTGGTGATTGGGAAAAAAGTCTTACGCGACACTTCCTCAATATCTTGATGCGATCAAAAGAAGTAATCCTGGATTTGAATACAAACAAATAACCAGAGAGATCAATTCGGGAGTTCATCAATTCATCTCTGTATTTTGGGCATTTGGTCCTTCGATCGAGAGATTTAAATTTTGCCGGTCGGTTCTTAGCATTGATGGCACACACTTATATGATAAATAGAAGGGTGTATTCCTTGTTGCTATAAGAGTACATGCAGATGGTGACTTATTTTCTTTTTAGCCTTCGCAGTTGTGGAGGTCGAGAACATCGAAAATTAAGAGTGGTTTTTTTCCTGCATTTAATTATATATTTTTAATGTGTTATCTCCGAGGAAAATTACTTTTATCTCTGATAGGATGAAAGGTAATCCTAAAGCATTTTACAGGAGATTTGGCTCTTATCACCATCACCGCTATTGTTTAAGACCCATTAGAGCTAATTTTAAAAAGAGCTTTGGTCAGATACATTTACAAAACTTTTTTTGGCAAGTGGGTTGTACACCGAAACATGTGTGTATGATCGGATACAGGATCAAATCAAGACAACATCTCAAGTTGCACATGACTGGATTGAGAGTAGTTTGGGAAGTGAATATGTCGACCTGTGGGCGAGCACTAAGTATAAAGATGGAGGGAATTGGTTTTGTATGATGACAACTAATTGTTCTGAAAGTTTCAACGGGGTACTTAAGGGGGCTCGAGCAATGTCCATACAGGCGTTGGTTGTGAGAATATTTTATAGACTCAATCACTATTTTGTCAAGCAGCAAGAGGATGGAGTAAAGTGGGTGACGTTATTGACACCAAAAAATGAAGAGATTGTAGGGTCTCGTGTCTTGCGGGCGAGATCAACGAAGATTATTAAATTTGTTGAAGATGAATGGTAGGTTACGGACAAACACTGTCATAATTACATCATCAATTTACGAGGGATACAATGCGCATGCACTTTGTAACGTACCATAATTGCAAAAATTGCCATGTTCACATGTTATAGCGGTTACATCCAAGCAATTTGGGGGTGTAAATATTTCGTATTACACATACGCTTCTGAGTGGTATCAATCAAACCACTATAGAGATTCATACAAACAGTGTTTCCATCGTATTATAGATAGTCATTACTGGCCATCCTATAATGGACCGCATGTGTTACCTCTTGAATATAAGAGACAAATCGGACGTCTGTGATCATTACGCATAAAAGGTACGATGGATGAAGGACGAGAAGGAGCTCCAAAGAAAAGTAGGTGTGGATATTGCAGACAATCGGGCCATAATAGATCTCATTGTCCTACCAATCCAAGCAGATAGCAATTAATGGGTA